CCGTTCAATGTCCGAATCAATTCCCGTGTATCAGTGTACGATTGAACTAAATGGAATAATGGAACTAAGTCATTGTCACTTTAAAAAATACAACCTCATGAATTGTATTAAGGAGATGGTTATTCATTCTGTATAACGCAACCATTCAATTTAGTGTCCTTAAGATCTCCAAGTGCCTTTACCAAAATGTGTTTCCTAGTTACCTAGTTCAAAAGGAACTATTCTCCAAACTGAAAGATCGGTACTAGGTCCGTTTTTACCATTCATCCAGTTCCTTTAAATGAAGTCATTCATTTTTATCTCACGTTCACCAAGTTCCCTTTGATCTAGACGTTCATCTAGATATCCCCGTTCAATGTCCGAATTAAATGACGTGTATCATTGAACGATTGAACTAAATAGAATCATGGAATTAATTGAATGTCATTCCAAAAATACAAGTCCATGAATTTTATTAAGAGATGGTAATTTATTTTGTATAACCCAACCATTCAATATAGCGTCTTCAAAATCTCCAAGTCCCTTTACCAAAATGTGTTCCTTTGGGTGAACGAACTAGTTCAAAGGAACTATTTCGCAAACGGAATGAACGGAACTGGGTTTGGAATTTTCGTTCATTCAGTTCATATGGCGTCAGCGATCATATTTTGTTCGTCCAGTTCCTATTGATCCAATCGTGAATTTGCCCGATTTAACCTAACGATTGGACTAAGAGGAACTAAAGAAACAAAATTACAACGGAACTTATTAAGGTTGGGATTATTCATGGTGTATAACCCAATCTTTCCAAAGTGACTCGCCGAAATATTGATTTTAGACCTCCAAATGTCTTTAGCAAAATTACTTTCATTCTGTTAACGAAGTAGTTCAAAGGAACTATTCCGCAAACGGAACGGTATGTACTAGCTTCATTATTTTGTTCATCCAGTTCCTTTTCCTCAATTCGTGCAATTGTTATTCTCGTTCTCCTAGTTCCTTTCGAACCAATCGTTTATCTAGATGTACCCGTTTATTGACCTAATTAATTGGCAATGAACGCTTGAACTCAAAGTAACTAAAATAATGACCTAGTTCCTTTTGCGGTATGAAAATATTGATACGTCCCCTTGTTTAACAATATTTAATATACCCTTTTCAGACCTTATTCATAACTTAATTTCTTTATTTTTCTTTTCATTTCAGAAGAACCAGAAAACTTAAAATCTCTCCCAACAAAACAAAAACCGAAAAATGAATCTCAAACTAAATAGGCGGCGACGTCTGAGAACGCCACTTGAAAATCTCACAAAAATGTCTACAGCCCGCCGTAATATACTTACCCTGTTGTGTTGCCTAAGCATACTTCTGCCCTTAGTCGCAGCAATTAATGAACCTGTGCCGCGATTGCGAGATCAATGTACAGAAATAAGAGATAAATGTGAATGCATCTCAATACTAAGTGATCTACAAATACAATGCCCTTACGATGAGCCCAAATTTGTCATCAATGTACGTCCCGTTGATCACATTATGATTCAGTGTATCAACATGAACTATAGAGACTATAAACTAATGCCACGAATGCAAGTTGGAAATACCACACGAGTTCAGATACAAGATTGCCCCTTGCCGGGTCATTTGCCAATATCGAGTATTTTGCAGCAGTTGGGTGTTACCGGTTACACGACACTAATGTTTTCCTCTAAAAATGATTTGGTGACAAATATAACACGCGACCACTTGAAGGGTCTGCATCCGCTGGCACGTCTACGCTTTAGTTCTTCTCATTTGCTGCATATGCCAGCCGATCTCTTTTCCCATGACTCGTTGAAAAATCTAACCTGGATTGATTTACGTTCAAATAATGTTGAGCTACCCGCGGATATTTTTGCACCCTTGGAAAAATTGGAATTCATTGAATTGGCCAATAATCAACTGAAATCGCTGCCACGTGGCTTTTTCCGCAATCAAAAGAATTTAAAAACTCTGAATTTATGGAGTAACCAGCTGCGTAATTTAACCACGGACACTTTCCAAGATCTGAGATCCCTTAAAGAATTGGACTTGAGCGATAATGGCATTGAAACATTCCATCATGATGTGTTCGCCGATCTGACAAATATGAGTAACATCAATTTGAGTTATAATCGTTTCCATTCACTGCCGGAGGGTATTTTTAAAACTAATCACAATTTGAAAATTGTGAGGTTAACAAATAACATGGTGCCGCTGAGAAGTTTGCCCAAAGGATTTTTGGCAAATTTACCTGAATTAACGGAAATACGTTTAAGCACGGGTCTGGAATCGATACCAGGAGATTTATTTTCGAATTCAACGGAATTGGATATTATATTGATTACCAACAATAAATTGGGTACACTGCCAGTGGAGCTGTTCGAAAGTCAAATAAAATTACAACATTTGGACCTGTCCAATAATCAGCTGACCAATTTGCCGGACTATCTATTCCATAATACGAAAAATTTGAAAGTTCTCAAATTGCACAATAATCAATTGACGGAAATATCAGAGTAAGTATTTTGTTGTTGTTTTATTTTGTATTTTAAAATAGAAGCCCAATTGTTATTTTGTTTAAGTTCCTGTACAGAGAGAAATAGTAGAATATAGTAAATTTCAAAACAACTAGTACAAATGAACTATTCCCCAAGCGGAACTAGGTTTGGCTCTTTCGTTCATTCAGTTCTTTTTGCTCCAGTCGTGAATTTTTCGATCTCCTACACCCATGCGATAATTTCTCAATAACTGTTGACGTTGAGTATTGCTAGAGTAGGGTCGATCCGAAGTGAACTAGTAACATTGAACTATTCTGCAAACGGATAGATTGGAACTAGGTTTGATTCTCTTGTTCAAGTAGTTCCTTTTGCTCCAGTTTTTCATTTTTGATCCCCTTTACTTATGTAATCATTTTTTTAATCTAGTTGGGTCGTCCCGAAGGCAACTAGTAACAACAAACTATTCCGCAAACGGAATGATAGGAGCTACAGGTTGGTTCTTTAGTTCACCCACTTTCTTTTGCTGCAGTCGTTCATTTTTAATCTCATTTACACATGCGATAACTTTTCATAACATTCGACATAGAGTATCACTAGAGTCGGCTCATTCCGAATCGAACTAATACAAATGGACTATTGTACAAACGGAACGATTGGAATTATGTTTGTCTCTTTCGTTCAAGCCGTTCCTTTTGCTCTAGTCGTTCATTTTTTTATCTCCTTTAGCCATGCGACAATTTTTCATAACATTCGACGTGGAGTATGAGTAGTCTTGGATTGTTTCGAAACGACCCAATACCAATGAACTGTTCTGCGAAGGGAACGATCGGAACTAGTCTTGGTACCTGTAAATCATTCAGTTCCTCTAGTCGTTATTTTTTATTTCCTATACCCATGCGATAATTTCTAATGAAACGTGGAGTATTACCAGAGTTTGGATCGTTCCGAAGCCTATTATTACAAATGAAATATTCAGCAATGGGGACAATCAGAACTAGGTCTTATTCATTTGTTCATTTGGTTTATATTGCTTCAATCATTCATTTTAGGTTTACTCTAATTAGTTCCTTCACCTAGTTCCTACCATATTTTCACCGAATTTACTGACATGTAACGATTGAACTAAATAAATGAACTAGTTCCTTTTGCAGATTCGAAAGATCAAAAAAAGATCGAAAAAGATCAAAACGGTACTTACAAATTCTTTGCAGATTTTAATCTGGGCCTTAAACACTTACCTGAAATAGACAAAAATAAATTTAATTAATAAAAATATCCAATTATTAAAAATTTTCTAATAAAAATCGATTTTAATTTAAATTATTTTCTCTCTCCTTCAATTACAGCGCCCTCTTCTCAACCTTAAGCGAACTCAAAGAACTGGATTTGAGCAACAATCATTTGACCATCATTAGCAAAGATGCCTTCGCAAGGGCTCAAAATTTGGAAATTGTCAATTTGGAAAATAATCGTTTGAGTTTCAGCGAACAAATTACCACTTTCCTGGAGGCAGGCATCTCACCCGCCAACATTGCATCACCATTGCAGGCGGCCATGAATTTGAAACGATTGAATTTGAAAAACAATTCCCTTATGTACATCTGTCAAGATTGGCGTATGACTTTGCCCGAATTGCAGGAACTCGATTTGAGTTACAACAATATTACGGTAATTGACGATGATGATGTTCGATTTTTGAATAAACACGAACTGCACGTCAATTTGACACACAATCAATTGCGTATGGTAAATTTCTTTGCCATTAATATTTACGAGGAACCCATTGCTATGACACGAATCGATGTCAATGATAATCCCATGGAATGCGATTGTAGCCTTGTGCAATTTGTCCAGTATCTCAGGGGAGAGAATGGTCCCAGGTTGCAGCAGTTATTGAAAATTAATGCGGATAATTTACGTTGTACCTCACCCGAAAAGCTGAGTGGACAATTGTTGCGCGATGTACATCCTCGGGATCTGTTGTGCCCCTATGACCATAAAAATTCCAATCCGAAACGTTGTCCTCAGGGTTGTGATTGTTGGATACGTAAATACGATAATATGCTTATGGTCAACTGTAGCAATGGCAACTTGACCCATTTACCAATGCTGCCGAATATTGAGGGCCAATTGGCGGGCACAGAGTTGTATGTTGAAAATAATACTTTGGTAGAGTTACCATTGGCCACAACGCCAGGCTATAGCAGTGTGGTGAAGATTTATGCTGCGGGCAACAATTTATCCTCCATTGAAGGTTCCCAGTTGCCAAATAATTTGGCGCTTTTCGATGTGCGCCGCAACAATTTGAAATACTTCAATGAGAGCACAATTAACTTTTTGAATGAAAGCCAGGCCTTGAAGCTGTTGTATCTGTCGGGAAATCCCTGGAATTGTGACTGTGATGCCAAGCCGCTGTTTATGTTTGCCCAAAGAAAATACGATTTAATTGAGGATTTCAGTCAAATGGCCTGTGTCAACTTCCCCACAGCCAAATATATCGGTGAGCTATCGATTACCGATATCTGTTCCGAAAATGATATCTACCTGGCCATGGGTATTGCCATTTCCGTAATGGGTCTGCTGATTGGATCCTTGGCCGCTTTGTACTACAAATACAATAAGGAAATTAAAATTTGGTTATATGCCAAGCGTTGGCCTTTTGTCATGTGGTGTATCACCGAGAAGGAATTGGACAAGGATAAGAAATACGATGCCTTCATTTCCTATTCACACAAGGATGAACAGTTTATTGCGGAATATTTGGTGCCAGAGTTGGAAAATGGTAATCCACGCTATAAATTGTGTGTCCACGTGCGAGATTGGCTAGTCGGTGAGTGTATACCCGATCAGATAATACGTTCGGTGGAAGATTCCTGTCGAACGATTGTGGTGTTGTCGCAAAATTTCATTGATTCCGTCTGGGCGAAAATGGAGTTCAAGGCTGCCCATCAGGCATCGCTGAATGAGGGTAGGGCACGTATTATTGTGATTATTTACGGTGATATTGGTAACATTGACAATTTGGATTCGGATCTTAAGGCCTATTTGAAAATGAATACCTACTTGAAATGGGGTGATCCATGGTTCTGGAGCAAATTGCGTTATGCTATGCCTCATCATACGGTAAATGAGAATGATATGCGGGGTCTGGTGAAGACGGCACTGAAGGGGTCAACCGATGATAAATTGGAGCTGATAAAACCATCACCGTTGTCACCGGAACTGACCACACCACCGGGAGAGAATACCAAAAATCCATTGGTTGCCCATTTAAATGGTGGTGGGGGTGGTGCCGCCACACAGACAGCGGTCACATTTGCCAATGGTAAGACACCGGCCTATTATACCAGTGGCAAGACGACAACAACAACGACCACAACAACAATGCCAAATGGCCATATCAATGGAGCCTTCATCATCAACACAAATGCCAAGCAGAGCGATGTATAGAATTGGGAGAAGGCGGAAATGTTTCAATTTGATGATGTTCTCTACCGATGAAACATTTTAAACGCTCTCTCTTTCGGCTCTTGTTCTCAAATTCCAATATGGATTTCCAAATCATCATCATTCATTCAGAATCAGCAACAGACCCAGAAATCTCAAAAAGATCATCATCGAGATCACATCACAACAATCCTCTCTCTCTCTCTCATCATTCATTCAAACAAAACAAACGAACAACCAAACAAACCAATCAACCACCACCATCACCACCAAATGAATATCAAACGGACTGAAGTGCTTTAAAAAGCTTCAAATTACAACAAAAAATAAACCGCAAACAAAATAAAAATGAAAAACATTTGTAATTTGTTCTTAAATATGATTTTTTTTTACACATTTCCTTTAAACAAAATATTTTTTGCAAATATTGTGTTCAAAACTTTTAATTAAAAAAATGACAAAAAACAAATTCAAATCAATTTGTAACAACAACAAACAATTATTAACAAATAAAGCTTTCTTTTCCAAACTACTTAATTACCAATTAACAAAAAAAACCTTAACAATAATTTTTAAATGACTTGTAATTTATATAAATATAGAAATAATAATATAAGTTTTTTTTTTTAATTTTATATTGTAATATTACAAAAAAAAAAAAGAACTCGCCTTATTTCAAATCTCAATTTTAAATTAATTTTAAGAAAATGCGCAAAATGTTCAATGAACTTTCGTTTAATTTCCTCTTTTTTATAGAAGACATGCAATATTGTTTTTAAACACTCAAATATAGCTTTTAAATACACACACACATATATATATTTAATTAAATCGTATCGTTAATTTTAAGTTTTTAAAGCTCTTAAATAATAAACCAGCAAATAAAACAATGGGAAAGATATACATATATAAATATAAGTAAGATAAGAAGTAAATAAACAAAATGGAAAATAATAAACTATATATGTAATTAAAAATATAAACTAATTATACATATACACACAAAATAAAGCAACAAATAAATTATATAAAAAAATTATTGTTTTTATTTTTTATTATTTTATTTTAACGCATTCCCAAGCATTGTATGGAGTTGAGTACTAGGAAAAAAGAATAAAGGTCATAGTGGAAACAAATTTTCATTTTTAAGAAGGGGTAGCCCTTCTAAATAGGTCATTTGAAAGAACAAGCAGCGTCAGTTTCTCTATAAAAAATATTCTCTATTAACAAACCTATGTAAGGTATTCCGTCTATGGAGGATATACAGAGATATATTCTCTATTTCAATACATAAAATAATGACTTCTAGAACCGTGGAAGTTCTCATTCTATAGAGAACTTATACAAAATCTATTTTTTACAAATATTTTCTATAGATGATATAGAAAATCAGTTTATAATACGTATCTAAGCATAGAAGATCTATACAGGATATATATTTACAAAATCCCATAGGTCTTTATTAAAAATTTCCTTTACAATGTATTCTATCCTCATAAAGGAGCTGTTTCCGATGGAAAGATCTCAAAACATAGAAGAACCTGTAAGTAGCGATTTTCTGAAAATAAATGACCTATAGAAAGTCTTATGTGTATATTTAGATAAAATATAAGATGTCTACTGCTTATAGGAGTCATACAGAATGTCCAATTTATAAAAATGACCCATAGAAGGTACCCTATGTATATGAAATCTATGGAAATTACCCATTTCAAAAGTGGGGCTGAATGTTCATTCTCGATTTAAGGGAACCCCCCCACCCCCCCCCCATTCAAGATTTTAATTTTTCAAGATTTTCAATGGGCTGGTAAATCAATACCAATGCTTGTTAAGGTTTGTAACTTTGCACATATATAATTGAAGATTTAAAGGAGAAGAAAAATAATTTATTGTTATTGCTTTGTTCTTGTTTTTTGTAATTAAAATTTTTTGTAAAAAATTCCTTATTTTCGATGGCGGGCATGATAACTCCTCACTGGAACATCGGAATCCGAAAATTCCAACGGTGTTAGAAAGAGTACATATCTGGCTCTCGTATGAACTAGGATTATAGATTTCGCTCTAAAATTAACAAAAACCAAGTTAAAAAATAAGGAAGATCTTCACCGATTGGCTTTATCCTAGTTCATACGAGAGCTATACACTCACAGAGAAACGTGTAAACATTTGGAATTTATTGGGTTATTAGTTTTTGAGTTATCGTGCCGCCATTCGCAAAAGAGAAAAACACGTTTAAAGTTTGAAAAGCCCTTTAGCCGTCACTTGATGCTGACACAATAAATCGGCTATTTCTTCAAGAGTTCTTGAGATTTTCACTTGAAATTTTGTAGGAACATTCTTGAATTAGGTCATAATATATATATATATATATATAACATGGTCCTTACTTCGCACAATCATTTAATGAGGTTAGATTAGATACACAAAATATCGACATTCTTCTTCTGTCTCCTCAGAGATTGTCTTAAAAAATGAATTCTTAAAATTCTACCTTGCAAAATTTTCGGCAAATGTATTCACTTTTTGCAACTGTTTCCCAATAAAGGTCTCGATCAATTCTAAAATATAAAAAATAGACTGTACATGTCGAATTTTACTAGGGCAATCAAAGAGAGGAGACATTTCCACAAAAATGTTCTGTGAAAATGTACACGTTTTCAGATGTTACTCAACGTTTTGCAATTGTAAGTTTAAAGATTTAATTTGTAAATCAAGATTCCCAGTTGTAATTCACAAACATTTCATTTGTAATTTTAAACATTTCGTTCGTAATTCAAAAAATGTCATTTGTAGTTCAAAGAATTACATAAAATATGGACATTCACATTATTCTTGACAACTGCTGCCCCGCCTTTCTAATACAAGGACAGATACTTTTTTGTAACAATAATGAAATTAGTATCATATTTTTAAAATTTTTTAAATTATTGAGTAGGGATAATTTTCAAAATGTTCAGTAATTTCGTTCGCTCCATTCTTCATAAGTTCGATTGTCATGCTGTTAGGCAGGGATTTTATACATTTTTTCAAAAAATATATATTATTAACATTTTTATAAAAATTATGTCCCTTTCTTGTTGTTTTAAAAATAAAAACAACAAGATTTTTATTTATTTTATTTTTTTCTAAAGTGGGTTATGGTCACATTGATTACTTTCGGGAAATGCAGAGAAGACTATAGTTTCGGATTTCACCACAAATCCTCATCAGTTCTCTTAGTTCTTTGCTTGGGATATTGTCCCATGGAGTCATGTATTACTCCACTAAACAAAAAACCCTTCTTCCCCAATTTTGTTACATCTACAACGTCAGGCCTAAGTACTATTGGAGAACGCTCTATGTGAGAATTCTCTAAAAGTCTCAGAAAATTTTGTTATGCGTCTCTACTTTGCAGAGAATCAACATAACATGTTTGTTGGTATCGCTGTTATGCGATGACCGCTCAAATGACCATGCTGTCGTCTATTTTTAGATTCAGTGTGGCATTTGTTTGTAGGGATGTGTGTGTTTACTTTTTTAGGCAAGCCAGCTTGATCCCTTTTAGTGAACACACACACATCCCTACAAACAAATGCCACACTGAATCTAAAAATTCTGTCCTTTTTTACCATAAGGTTTCAATAGGACAAATATAAAATTTAAAAATGTTATAAATCTAAATAATAATTATTAAATTCTGAATTTCTGGTGGAGTTTTTAATGATTGCAATTGAGAAATTAGGTAACACTCACAGTAGTTCGCATAAAATGTATATTCACATTCTAAACGTCAGTAATTATGTCAAATGATTCAATCAAATAGCTTCATTTCTTTTTAAGTTTTTAATTTAAATGTTTTCAATTTCAAAGTTATCATTTAAGAATTGTATATGTAAGAATTAAACAATTAAGTAATCGTATATAAAATTAATATAAAAAATGGAAATATATATAGTTATATATAAATAAAAAACAATGCCTTCTATGTGTAAACATAAAATATTTTATATAAAAGCAAATGTATGTCTCGTAAATATTAATAAGAAGAAATAAAAAAACTACATACCAAAATCTCAAGTTTACAGTGTATATACCAAAACTAAAAACCAACAATAAAGCATTACTCCATTCCTTAAAACAACAATATAAACCAATTACTTATATTTTAAAATAATATACATAATATCACAGATGTATACAACGCAAAGTTCTGCAAATATACAATAAACTTGTAAAGAACAACATTTTAAATAAAATCTACAATAGGCATTTTGATTGTTTTAACATAAAGTTGAAACAATAAATGTTTTCTTTTTCAAAAAAGTCCCCAACTCATAATATGATAAAACATTATTATTCTTTGTTATTATTTGTGATAAAAAATAATTTCTTAAATAATTTTTTGGAAAATATTAAAAACAATGTATGTACTATTTACTATGTATGTACTATTTATCTCACATATGTATAATCATTCTGTATCTCGAATACATCACTCATTCATTCATACCACAAGAAAAAAAATCTAGAACTCGAATAAGTTTTAATATATAAATTAAAATATACAAAAAAAAAAACAATATATATAATCTTAATAAGAATTTAATATATTATATTTAAATATAAATAAAAAACACCCTACATTAAGCAACCTATTATTACAGCAAAACAGAAAAATACAATAAAAATATGTATATTTTAAAATAAAATAAATAATTGGGTTTCAATTAAAAAACTAGTAAGGAAAGGTACAAGAGGTGTAATGGAGAACTTCATGTCATCCGCCTGTTTCTCTTTGCCGCATGATGCTTTTCACCATAAAGTGAACATTTAAATAAACGGTAACTTCATAAGTGGCGCCCAAATCGGTTAAAAATCGTTCCCATAATTTTAGCTAATTCGAATGAAAAACTTGCCCAAACTCCCCAAAATACCCATTAATGGAGTTGTACCCTTATAAGGTGGCTATCCTCAAAAGTGCATCGATAAAAATAATTTTTGGTATAGAGATTTGCTGCTCAAAGGGAACACAATTCGGTTTAAAAAAATGTTCAAACTCCATACAAAAAGAATAATGAAGGGTACTTTTATAT